ATCTGCAGATGTAGATGCAGGTGATGTACTTTATCCTAAAGTTTAACGGCTAAAAAACAAGACGCAGGTACATCCATTAGCAAAACAGCTTATAAATACTCAAACGTTAGAAGTAGAAGTACAGACAGAAGAAGAAGCCAGGATGTGCCAATCCTGACTGTTATAAATGCATAAATGATACCCATCAAGACTGGAACATATGACATATTGCAAAGAATGAAATAATGTAACTCCGCCATGATGAGCTCAAAGGTCTGTCTACGAGATGTTTCAACAAATATTAGGACTATTACACATTTACATTTTGGGCAGTGTGAAGATATGTGGGTCAGATCCAGTTTCCACCCTGCTGTCCAGAGTGGGAGAAAGTGAGCTCAATAATCAAACATGACGTTGATTTCAGAAGAGGATATGAATTCTCTCACTTTACCTGCAGCTGCTGGCGAACTGAGAGGATATTTATAAACCCAGACTTTCTCTTTAATATGTATTCAGAGTGTATCTGAGCACAGGAGGTGAGAACATCTCATTCTGCGCTGTGCTGTTAATGAACCATAATGGTGATAAAGTGCTGATGATCGTCCTTAAAGAGCCCTCAGTGAGAGAGATGCCAATTAGAGGAAGCCTGGTGATTAAATGGGAACAATAAAGCTTTTTCTGCTGTGCCACACACACACACACACACACACACACACACACACACACACACACACACACACACATTCACACACACACCTGTAGATATGCACCAACCTTCAGAGACATCACAACTATAATGAACGCAAACACACATACACGTACAGTTTAACACACTATAAAGCATCAAGTGTATAATCTGAACACATGCACCAACATTAAGAGAACTTTACACACACCTTTATCACAGAGAAACAGAATCACACCCACACAGATGTATGCACTTCTTCTTCTACTGCAAAACATTTCAAACAACGAGGAAACATTAAGAAAAAACTGAATGATTACTTGTCTACTTGCAATATAAAAGGAGTCTATCTAGTATGTGTACATGTTTTAAAATGTTTAAATGTAAAAACATATATTTGCACTGGTTATGGTGGAAAAGTTTTAAGTATTGCTACAAAATGTCGTCCCTCACACCCACAAATAACTTTGATAAGATTAGATCTTGTCGATCCCCGGAAAATGACAAAACCTCACTTTCTTAAACTAGGAAAGAATGGAGCTTATCCATGCACACATGTTTTCCTCAGTGCACAGAACCATCACACACACACACACACACACACACACACACACACACACACACACACACACACACACACACACACACACACACACTGAGTGTTGCTGCCAGTGATCAGCAGTCGGGGGTAGCTTTGTTTCTCTGGAGTTTGTCAGCTGAGCCCAGCGATGCCACCAGACATCAGCACCCACTGTAACTGGTAATGAGTCTCTGAGGAGCGGCCAGCTGTGCAGCGGCCAGGAAACAACCCCATTTAAAAACTATCATCTCCTCCCAGCCGCCTGCCCACTTTCCTCCCAGACATCCCGGCAACTGCAACCTGCATCAGGCTGCACCACCTGCCAGTCAAAGCTGCTGCTGCTGCTGCCCGCCCCCCCCCCCTCCCTCCCTCCCTCCCTCTGCACCAAAGTGTGAACCTGAACAGCCGGCCAAATGCTCGGCCTCCAGTCACCTGAAAACATAATCTGCATTTAAATTAAAAACTCACTTTGGTGACTCATTCTTACTCCAGAGGGTGAGGGTGTTTCATTAAGGGGATTAGCATGCAGGAGAGTCAATAAAGCCTCGTAAACATGGTGCTGTCATGGCGTCATTTACATGTTGTCGTCCATGGCTTGTACCCTCAATATTGATAAATGGGATTAAACAGGCTGGCAGCAGTGAGATGTATGCATTTAGAATAGAGAGCCACATCAATTCCTCTTGTATGTATTTTCAATGGACGTTACTGCATGGCGAAGAATCAAGAAATCCGCCTGATTCTCTTAACCCATTTCTACCTGTTATGACATTTTCTATTTCCTTTTTTTCCTTCAGTTCAAGCGTGTTGCTTAGACTCTTTCCTGCATTGTGACCAAGGGCCTCTAAGATATATTTCCTATTCATATATGTAAAAAAAAACTGAAGTCCTATGTAGGGATGTCATTAAATGTCCATACCAGATTTCAAGATATTAGTCCAACTGGAGTAAATGTTGTGGCATTGAATATCATGCTAAATATAGTAATTGGGCACAAACTGAGCTGGGATGTTTGTTTTTACACCCTGTTCATAAGGAAAATATTTCTGCTGGACCAACATATTTAGAAGTTGAAAAAACATGGATAGAGAACACAGTAGGCTCTCTGGTGGTTTGATTAGCGTCCAGTGAATATCTCCCATAAAACTAAAATAAAAATCAGGGCAAAGAAAGACTGTGAGAAGTTTTATTACCTATATAAAAACTTCTGTGTGTACTCTCGGTGACTGTAAAGCCGCTCCAACACGTTCATGGTCTCCCTCTAGCTCTGCGTCCTGAGTGACCACAGAGGCTGGGTGGCCTTCAGTGACGAGCCAGCGTGTTTACAGACGCCAGAGTGAAGGTTAGTCGACGCCAGATAGCAGGGGTCAGCGGTGGAGACGGAGATGGATGTGTGTTTGGTCTGGAAGAGAGACAGGCCTGAGGTTCTGATACAGAGAGGCCTCAGAGCAGAACGTCCATTAACCCACACTTAAAGACTCACTGAGAGCAGAGCTGTAAAATACCTCTTACCTTTACTCCACTACTGGAATAATGCAGCAGTACTTGACTACTTCCTGCTAGCTCTACTTTAGGCAGCACAGTGAAATCTGTTATTTATCATGTATTGTTACATTTTTGAGTTTGGGTTATTTTGCTTCCAAAACATTTAGTCACATTTATTTCAGATGAGTGGAAAAGGAAACATCAAAAATACACATTTAGGTGTTTATTTTACTAACTTTGTCTGTTTGCATCCGAGATTTCTCCTAAACTCACCTAATCTTAGCACTGGAACATGTGACAACAAGCATATTTATTCATAACATTTACAGTAAGAGAACTTGTAATAAAAAATATGTAAGTAATCAACTGGGATGTTAACGTTACAGTTTTAAAGACGGCTTTGTTCATCACTCAGATCGTGATTTATAAAACCGTTTCAAAGGGAATAATGTTAATTGTTCCTGTAAAAACCTTTGAGTATAATATATAAAGATTATAAAGAAAGATTATAAGTATAATTTAATACTTAAAAATTACATAAGAATTTGAAACCTGGCTTAATCTGAGTTTCAGGAAATGCGTGAAACCATGTGAGACATTTATTTAGAGGATATAATTAAAGGTGGGGTAGGTAATTTTGGAGAAACCAGCTCGAGTGCGCTAGAATTTGAAAATACACAGCCGTATTTTTTTTTGCCACTTCCTTACAGAGCCCCTCCTCCAACACACACGAACGCGCACATGACCAATGAGGGCACGAGATAAATTTGTGCACAGATGGAAGACTGACAGGCAGGTAGGCCATCCAGTTATTTTAGCCGGGCCGGCTAAAATGATTGGTCGTGCTTTTTACAGTACTACGGCTTCCACAGATGACATGTTTTTAATGGATTTTGTGTCAAAGCACTTCAGATATTCATTGCTATCGGGATGTTAAGAGCATTCCATGGAATATAACACAAAGTGTATCTCGAGCCGGTTTCTCAAACTTACCTACCCCACCTTTAAATGTAATTAAATAATTTTAAGCAACACATCTTGTATGGCCACTATAATATCCTTTTATATTTCCATTCATTTTTATTTTTATTATTGATGTATAACAAAATTCACAAAAACCTGGACTAAACCCAAAAAAAGTTACTTTTATATTTACATCGGGGCAGTTTTGGTGCAACTATTTAACTTTTTTGTAAGTAACATTTTACCATTGTGGTATTTTTAAGTAAAGGAGTACTTCTTCCAAACTACAGCTTATTCAATCTATCCCTAGTCATTGTGACATTTTTAAACAAACAAAACGATTTTCTGAAATGCTGTAGTGTTTTGTGAAATGCTGTAGTGTCTTGCACTTCAGGGCCACCGTAGATTTGATTGGCATTTTGCCAATTTAAATGACAGGCTAACTACTCTATCATTAGTTTGCATTGAGCTCAGTTTCATGAAGCCTTTGAAACTCTTTGCATGGTTTGTTTTCTCTGCTGGGACGCCAGGAAGGTGGGGTTTCCCTACAAGGGAACATAAGGAGAGCAGAAAGATTACACACAGGGACATGTCTGAAAGTCAATTAGTAGTTCTTCTTCTGTGGTTACATGACACAGTAAAAACACTCTCACCTGACCTGAAGCTGCAAATGTGTGAGGACAAAGTGTTTCCTTTTATTTACCCCATTTGCTAGGTGGCTGAGTGGTCTGTGTTCATTTATCATGAAATCAGTTAAATCAGAAAATGCGTTCATCTGCACTATCAGGCTCACACTGCCATCTGGTGGCCACACAGCAAACAACTGTAAACAAATGGATGGAAATTAGCTTTTGGAGGCAGAAAGCTGATATTTTGACACTGAAGTTGCTTTCATTTTTAGTTTGTTATTTTATTTTCTCAATGGTTCCTTTACAACAGATCTTTTAACGCATTGTGGAGCATATTTTGATGTTGCCTCAGTTTATATTTATGGAGTTATGTGACCAAATCTGATGTGTTTCGCTCAGTGATAAGTCGTGAGCTCAGAGTCAGGACAAGGTATATAATCTTTGATGGAGAAATTATTAAATTATTTATTTGTAAAACCTTGTTTAGTCTTATATGGTGGAAACGCTCAAGTGGAATCCAAAATAATGAACTTTTAAAGTTGAAATAAGTATTCCAAAAATAATTTCTAGAATAAACACAGCTTTTTAATGAGGAAATAATTGAAATAACATGACTTTATAAAATGTTAGATTCCCATTTCACATGTTTAATGTATATATAAAGACAAATACCAGCCCAAAGTATCAGTATGTGTTTATTTAAAATGGGTTGTATTCATTAACAGATAGAATAGACCACTACTACTGAAGGCAGAAGCACAGACAGCAGCGAGATGTATTGCAGTTCGTTTCAAGCGATGTGAATAACAGCGTGATCACAGCAGCTGGCGAACCATCCAGATGTTCGTTTAGACAGCCCTGTGAGTTTTATACTGAAGCAGACAACAGTGTGGTTTCACTATAAACACTTTTCAGTTTTATAAACTTCTGCATCTGTGTGAAGATTTACATTGATGATCGACGCTATGTTCTTTTCTCACTATGAATACAAATCCCAGTGTTATTCAACAGCTGTTGTTTCCTGTTTTGTATGATTTCCAAACTGTTTTACTCTCCCCAGCTCTTTGTAGTCAGACAGGACATTCAGATGTCGTGACAGATGGAAAATTCCAAAATCTTTAACATGGTGTGGAAATACCATCACAAATAAACCGAAGAAGCCTGAAGCAAAAACTAGAGGTTGATGAAGCAACTCGAACATGTAAATAGAGTATAGTCATAACACCAAGTGATACATTTAAAAATATACATTCGTTATACCTTATTAATAAATATCATTATTGCATTTTTTAAAAGCCCTTAAGATGTAATTAAGGGGGGCGGGGGGGGGGGGGGGGGGGCTTTCAAACCAGCACGACTTGGAAGGCATTATATTATCTGTGAGCACCAATGTGGTTGAGTTAGGCTTGTGTGTTTTTCAGCTGGAATTGATCAATGTAGGAAAGCTGCTTTACAAATAAAGTTGCATTGCCTTCTTTTTTTAAGCTGTTTAAAGATAAAAACTTTAAAATAGTTTGTTTAAAAGTTTTGTTTCCAAGAAAGTTAAGTACAGTTTATTGTTGGGGCAAAATTGAGTGGGAAATCATGTTTCATAATAAATACCTCATTGTTTTGTTATGAAATTGTCACTTCTAAAATGACATTTTGCCCCTAAGAAAATATCAATGATGCTCTGGAAGAAACGATGAATTAACCCAACATTTCTCAACACCACAATCTTTTTTCAAACAAGATGTTAAGAGTTCATGTGGTTAAAAGAATAACATAACCAACATGACAACTGGTTGTAAGAAACCACAACAGAACATAATCAACCACAGGGACTTGGATGTGGTCAATAAAATGATCCTCAGGCACTGATGTTAAAAAAAAACATGTGACTTCCAGAATAAATAAATTACAGTACAAAGCATGAAGCACCTGTGAGGAGAGGACATTTGAGTCAAAACAAGTCACCCCTTCCTCTCAATCTTCTTCTTGGCTTTTAGGATTCCTATAGTTCTTTCCTTAAGTATCTGAGTGAAGCACGCCCAGTCAGTTTACATATTTGAGAAAACTTTACAGAACACTGAAGCTGTGAGGAGAGTCTGTGTGTTTTTCTCAGCAGAGATCTAACATCAGGAAAATACCCCAAAATGTGAAAAATACAAATACATGTTGTACAGACTCAGGTTATACACCGATAGAAGAGTTTTATGTTTTATTCTACTCGAGCATGCAGTCTGCGATGGGACTAAGTGCTGCACAGTGAGACATCTAGCGAGCTCCTTAACTTATTTACAGTAAAATTCTACTTTAAAAGAAGGTCCACATACTGTTTATGCAGCAGTGAGGACCTCAATCTGCTGCTTCAAGTGTCCACTTAAGGGAGCTGAGTCCCAGGATTGAGGATCACTTAGATAGTATTTTCTACACTGAATCTCCCTTTAAGTTTCGCTCGTAAACATCTCATCCCGAGCCCATATTCATCAAACTTCTAGGAATTACATTGGAAAATGTTCTTAAAAGCCGTTTTAAGAGTCAAAAGGCCCATTATTATTATTATTATTTGAATCTTCAGAAAAGGTTCATTTAACTTGTGCAAAATCTTTATCATCTCCATCAGATATTGACATATGTTCATGATATATGAATATGAGGGTAAAACCGATGGAAAATGGATGAAATTGAAACAAAAGACAAAACAAACTGGATTGAAGGAGAGTAAACGTGTCAAACTTATATATGGGCATTAAAAGCCGACGAAAAAGCTTCATTAGTAATATTCGTGTTTTTTAGGAAGGACTGCAGCGAACACCAGAAATGTTTTTTAGACCCCTGCAACTTTAGATGTGATTATTAATTGTGCCTCGGGGAAATAATGAGTACATCTAAATAAATCCAACATTTTCCAAACCACATAAAAATGACACCCATACGTTTCATTTTGCAGAATTCTGCCTTTAAACAACCCATATTTAATCTTATATACAATTATACCTCTACTTACTATTTACAGAACATACCTGTGCAAACGTTATACATTCCTGGGACCCACTTTCAGATACCATTAGCTTCTTACAGTGACGTGCTGCTCTAAAGTAAGTTCATTACTTCTCAACCTCTGTTAACACAAGGAATACTCAAGGCTGTAAGGCTTATGCAATTACCATTGGTTAACACGCTCTCTGTTCTGAATGAGACTCACTCTGCCTGCTCAGCCTCTTCCTGTATTCACATTTTAAACTGTACTCATTAAATGTTGTGTATCTGGTATTTTCAGGCTTTGTTTGGATCTGTTCCAGAGCATCACATAAGCAGGGACACACCGCCAAAATAAAATAATTTTTCTTTTTGCCATTAATGCAAAAGGAAATGATTAAATATTCAACAGAAACCTGCAAGAAGAAAGCATGTCAGCCTAGCCAATGATGGCGTTTTACAGGACGTTCAGTGTGCATAAGGACTTAAAAACAAGATCTGTAATGGCCTCGATGCGTCTGTGGACTTTACTTTAATCTGTTAACATTCAGACTTTAACATTTTAGCCGGGTTGAGCTCCAGCTGTGGAGTACGGAGGCTTTGTGGGGAGAGGCAGTGATGTGAAGATTGAGGGTTTGGGATAACAAAACACACAAAATGTCTGCATGGAGAGCTTTAGAGATGACACACACACACACACAAACTAAAATGGCTGGGTGGAAATGAGACAAAGCATGAGTGATGGGAAAACAAAATCAAACAAAAAAGAGAATCCAGGATCATCCATAATTTATTCAACATGTATGATTCATTTTTAAAAGTTTCTGTACATTGACACTTGATCTGTGTTTAAAAATAAATGAAGCTTTTCGTACATTTGAGGGTCAAGTTAGTCAAACTAAATTCTGATATCAGGTCATGTTGTCAAAGAACATGTCCACATTTGGAGGAAGAAAAAAAAAAAACATTGCAAAATTTGATTAAATAAATAAATAACATGACAATTATCTCAAAACTAAACCTCCAGCAGGCTTTGTCTTTATACTGCATGATTTCACCGCACCTTTCAAACCGAGTTGAGATGTTACCTGATTTCTTTCTCTGATGTTAGATTATTAAAACTTCAAAGACCAACACTGGATTCCTGCATTTATTTTTTAGAATTAAATTTGATTATTGTTTGGGATTAATGTCATGTAAACTAAAAGTGGCTAGCCAACACGGGGCTTTTAAAAATGTGAAATTAATTATTTACTGTGAACAGACCGGTTCAGACAGAAGGCAAAGAGCATTTTATTTTCGGCGCTTGGAAATGTTAAAAAAATGCGTCTTTCCATTTCCACACATGCAAACAAATCTTGAATATATATGTATTTTCTACATTTGAAACTGGTAGAAAAGTGAGGAATATATGCTTAGCCTTCTGCCTGAACACACCTGAACTCGTGATAAAAGATGGTGGATGTGCTATTAATTAAAACGTTTTCTCCACCTGATTATTTTCTTAGTTTCCAGACCAGAGTATGAACCTGATCGTTGCTCCAGTTAGACTCCGACTCCTCCTCATCATGTTTCCCTGACTTTAAACAACTCTCCTGATCCTGGTTTCAGTCTCCAGCTGCCTTTCCCCCTACTTCCACCCAAAGATAAATCTCATATATTTTTAAAGATCCTACAAAAGGGTAGCTTCCTGGAAAAAGTGGATTCTTAAAAATATATAGTTCCATACAATAATCACCAACTAGTGCATCACCTCCCAAAAATCAGACCATCAAAAACCACACATTTTTGGTTATAGCAGCCTTTTTTCTTACTGACTCTAAATTACATATATTACAATCAAACACACCTCTGCCTCAAAAAGGAAGAAAGGGAAATACAAGGTTATGCACATGATGCATCAATGACTTATTGCTTTAAGTATTTGTTCTTCTAGCATACAACTCCTCAAACTCTACAGGAATCTTTAAGGACGGTTTTTATATCGTAGATCGCGACAAAGCAGCTCACATAGCAGTTCACACACACCTGCGGTATCAAAAACAAATAGTGTATTATTTACACATTGGAAATACTTAGCAGAGGACAGTCAGAGACAGCGAGCTCAAATCTGCCGTTTCTTCTTCCAATGAGTCTAAAATGTCAAATGAAAGTCACCAAAAGAGAAAAAAACAAGACTCCTGCATACTGGACTTTGTTTCCAATGAAAAACAAGCTCGCTGTCAAAATGCCTCTGCTGCCAACGGTATCCCTCCTCTCTTCCTCCCTTAGAAAGACTTTTCTGAAACATAGTGCAACACTGCTGCCAGCGGTGAGCTTTGAACGCTGCTCCGCTCCACACACAATCACAAACCACCATGCACGCCTGCAGAGGTTTTGTAAATAACAATCTAAGTTTTGTAAATATAGGCAAACTTTTTTAAATGTTGTCATGTAGCATTCTGCTTTCATATCATGGTTCCTTTATGTTGTTCTTTATAAAAAATGTAATTGTTTTCTCCAGAATTTCATGAATGCATTTTTAGGTTCGTCAGGTTTTCATGTTTTATTATCATATCCTGCTAGCATGTCCGAAATATAATGTCCAAAGGACCAGTGTATGAAGTTATTTTATAGGTCTTTAGTAGCACAATATTTGCGAGAATATACAATTGTTTGATAATATCTGCAACCATTTTACGTGTAAGAATTAGCACATTTTCATTTTCTGCTTCTATATTGAATATCCTATAGTTTTGTAAAATGTTTGGGCTTTGTTACACAAAAAGATTACCTTGAAGATGCGAAGAATTTAGAACTGAAATGGTTGGTTAATTCGTTTATCGACAGAAAATAACAGATCACTTGTTTTTAATAATTTCGCTCACTAAACATGCCAAACACTTTTGAGTTTAGGTTAATGATTGTAAATACAAATGATTGAGGTTTTCGACTGTTGGTTGGACAAAAACCTGGGTGCTGACAGATCACTTTTTACAGATTAAATTATTAACAGATGAATACATTTAGTTTTCCTGGAGCGCTCTGCATCAACACACATACCATTTCAATCCTCTCCAGACCTTGATGCCCTGGTATACATCACTATCACACATATACCCCCGGTCCTTTGGCCCCTCGGCGCCTAGAGACAGTGGCAGTGCTGCTAACGTACACACACTCCTCCGACCCGACCACAAACACCCCTCTCCGCTGCCAAGTGTAATAGAGACGTTGTCACAGCGTTTACACCGACGGCTGATTTATGCGGCGCAGAGCATGCCATGTGCCGCAGGATCGTCTCTAACATAAACACAACCCTCCAGAGGAGCTGGCTGGCCCATGTATGGGGCGAGTGTTTACCCATCAGCACCCATCCGAGTGACTGCAGCGCTGGGTCTGACCCGGGACAGAGCACCACGAGCTCTAAATCACGCACACGTATGACAGCAGATTCCGGGAACAGATTCAATGAAGCGCCGTCCTCTCAACGCTATCTCAAGCACCACTTTGTCTTCTGACGTTTACACCTGAGCTCCTCTCTGGTTACCATGGAGGAAAAAGTGTTTGTTCCACCACAGAGTACCCAACACTAAATCTTCCCTTTACTGTGGGATCACACTGGAGCCACTAGACAAACAACTCAGTGTGCTGAAAGTATTCAATTAAACAATGAGCTGATTGAGAGAGACCTCCATTTTGAAAATATAGTACTTGTGTAAGACATGAATTCGGCAAAAAATGAATGATGGCTGTGTCCAAGTTCTAAATGATAAGAATTTGCTAATTTTTCCTGTTTTATTTTTACCAATTGAATCCAAACCCCGATTATGGCTGTTGGACAGACTAAAAATCATCATTTGAAACCGTCATCTTGTCCATTGTTTGACATGTTATTAACGTTTAAACAAAGCGCATCAAATAAAATCAAAATAAATATGAATTGCAGCACTTCAAAATGCAGTGGCCAGGCTGCCTGCAGTGTGAACACAGTTGAAAAGGGACGTAAAGCTCAGTTGACTTGACATTCATGGCTGCAGTGCTAAATAACTCAGTGTGTGCCTCTAACCACCTTCAACTACAACAAAGCGTCTTTCAGCCCAAATTACATCAAGTAAATCCTCTGTGAAGACTATCTACCGTATAGTACTCAAAAAATATACAGCCGTTTGTGATCCATAATATCTCTGTCAAGCAAAGGTCACTTAGTATTCAAGCTATGGAGGTCAGGATTACGAGTTATCACACTACTCATGTGCGTAAGATGAACTAGTTGCAGATAAACTACTTCCACCTTCCGAGCAGACAACCTCCAAACAACTGGAAAATACTTTCCGAGACAGAAACCAGAAAAAAACGAAACAAATAAACACTTTTCTACTCTATACAACTGACTGGTATTTCAATTGTTTGGCTGTTTTTGTGTCAAGACACGCACTACCCTTACTGCTGAGGAATATAAGTCAGTCTTAACGGCTTTGTTTGTTTGTTGGTTTTAGGAATCAAAAAGCTATGATTAAATGTGCCATAGTGCAATTTTGGCATTTATCAGAGATCTATTGAAAATACACAAGAATGACTATGAAGTGCTAAAATGAGACAAAATATTAAGTACAAAATGAAAAGAAAATCCAGTACAGTAGTTTTTAATATTGATGCTAACTTTAGTCATTAACATCCAACACATGAATCCTCCATGTACTTATGATTGACTGGGAATGATGAACGTAAAGCTAGGATTTTTATTTTTTATTATTAGATTGAATAATTAGCATTATTTTAATCTCACACATGATTTAATGTTTTTTGTGGATTTTCTGTGTGTGATTATATATTTGTTAGCAGCCACCATACTACACTAACGCAAGCAAAAAGCTACCCTGTGCAAGAACCGTTCAGAAAGAAATAACAAAAGGTTACAATATGAGAGCATGATGAATAAACAAAATCAAAAGAGGAAAATAAATAAATGATGGTAATGAAGATGACTGAGAAGGGTCCAGAAATGATCTCTGAGATGATGACAGAAAGGTAAGATGGTTCACCTCAAACTTTAAACAATATTTCTCCCCAATATATATTTTCCAAACATAATCTTTAAACAACTTCCTCTTTTGTCATCTCTCATGCTGGAATATTAACCATTGTGTTCCCTCTATCAATAACTCATTGATATATAAGTTACATACAATCAACACATATTACATGATTAGTACAGAAACGTTTAACATTATCAAGTTAGATTTTGTGCGTTTTTAAAGGCAATTTGCCTTCTTTTATGATTTTTTATGTTATTTTCAGGACATTTTGAGAAGGCAACGGTTACCTCTCTTAATGGTCGTCCACATCGATCTGCTGTGAAGAGTTTTCTGTGACCGGGAGCCAGTCAGTGGTCTCTTTTTTATATGTATATATCGCTATGTGTCTTTATTGAAAAGTTAGTTATTGAAAGTGGCTGCCTCCTTCTCAGCCTTCTCTTTGGCCTTCTCCTTCTCTATCAGCTTCTCCTCCTTCTGCAGCATCACCATGATGTCCGCCACCTGAGAGGTGGAGATGTCGATGTCCTCCTTGTCGATCAGCTCCACCACCTGGGATAATGCAGGACAAAAGAGCAAATGTTTCAAAGCAAATTCAAAACCTATCTTTTTAATATGGCTTATCATACAGTAGTATCATTGTCCATGTTTTGCTTTTATTTTAAAAAATTTAAAATTTTCTTTTTTAAATTATTTTCTTTTAACCTATTTTCATTTCAGCTTTTTACATTACATTGCATTTAGCTGACGCTTTTGTCCAAAGCGACTTACAATAAGTGCATTAGACCAAGAAGACACAAACTTGAAGAAAACAGAATCATATAAGTACATCAGGTTTCATAGAGCCGAAACATTTCAAGTGCTACTCAACTGGCTTTAGATAAGCCAGTCCTTTATTGGTATATAAGTGCTTTGTTAGTAATTCTATCGCTCGAGGTGGAGTCGAAAGAGATGAGTTTTCAGTTTGCGCCGGAAGATGTGCAAGCTATCTGCTGTCCTGATGTCAATGGGGAGCTCATTCCACCATTTGAGTCACGGCCCGTCCACACAGCGGCGTGCGTTGAAAGCTTCACCATTCACTTTGAATGGGGTGACGTCACTTTTCGCCAAACTGCATTGTGGGAAGCGACGCGGAGCTTCGCTGGCGTGGCTCGCTGCAAAGGTTGAGCAATGTTCAACTTTTGAAGCCTCGGCAGAAGTGTCAGCCAATCGAATCATATGCCAGTACAAGCTCTAGCCAATCAAACCGCTGCTTGTGTGAGATTCATGTGATTGGTTGTTGGTCGAGTTTCAGACACGCCCGCCGGCAAGCGACAACGCACGCCGCTGTGTGGACGGGCCGTCAGGATAGCAAACCCACGTGTTTTTGCGGATGGGAACTTGGGTCCCTCTCGCAGTGCGGGTGCAGCGAGCCGTTTTGCTGATGCAGAGAAGAGTTACTGGAAGCCAGTGAAGGGAGCGGAGGAGCGGTGCGGTGTGCGAATATTTAGGAAGGTTGAAGACCAGACGAGCCGCTGCATTCTGGATGAGCTTTAATTCAAGGGGATTTCATTAGGATCACTGTAGATGTTTTATCTTGTTCTGTACTTAATATTATTTTAATATTGTTGTTGTGTTTTCTGTAAAGCACTTTGGGCTGCTTTGTGCATGAAAGGTGCTATACAAATAAAGTCTATTATTATTATTATTTGAGCCGTTAATACTTTGCTTTATATCTCAAGTATTTCTAAATAACATAATAATAGGATTACAGAAAAACTAAAGGCTAGATTGTAATGAAGCTCGGTGGAGGTGTGTCACGTGTGCCAGGAAACATTCCATTTGAACAGGGGAGGATACACTCATTATTTTTCTAGTTTTGTTAATATTGAGAGATAGAGAATTAGTCCTTGGCAGAGTCCTTGGCAGATGTGTAACAAAGTATTTTAACATAACATGTCACTATAGATATTACAATATAGTGACAAATTCAATCCCACACAGCATCCTGTTGCCGGATGTATTGTTTTGTTGTTTTATAATATTTGCTATATACCACGGTGTTACCAGGAAATACATTTTATATATACGTGACCTGATTTTAAAGTGTTGTGTCTTCGGTGAAACAAATGAGATTAGTGCTCTAAGTATTTCTACATCAAATAAAAAAACTCATATCTAAATAAAAAAAACAAAAAACCTGCAGAGACTGCCAGCGGTACTATTTATCAAAATCAAAAAGTGTTTTAAAAGGTAAAAGTTTTAAAGGGCATTCAGAATACAATCATTTCTTGATAGGATAAAGCCTCTCTCTTCCATAACAACCGCTTCTTTAGTACTTTTCCTATTAAAAACTAACTTTAAAATAACTTTCTGTGATAATTAAAGAAACTACAAAATAAAAAATGCACCACAAATCAGGGCCATATTTCTCAGTTGTCTCGTGAACGTACCTTGATGACGTCGTCGATGTCGATCTTCCCGTCCTTGTTGTCGTCGAGCGACTCGGCGATGCTCTGCAGCTTGTGCTCAGGAATGTTCTGGATCTGTCGCATGACGCTGATCAGCTCGTCGATGCTGATGAGGTTCTCCCTGAAGGAGTAGAACACACTGCATACAGGAAACGGTATGTAACCAATTGTGAGGAAAATGTGGCGGAGAAGTCTGAGGACAACATGCCCCAATAGAGGTTCCCGAATCACACCAATCACGCTGATTTCAAGCTTCGTCGATAGTGAGAGTGAACATTACTGTGGAAGCTGCCTCAAAGTTAATCCATGCTCAAAATGCTATTAAGAATGGTTTAAAGTATTACATATTATTATTTAGTTTAAAGCTGAATTAATTAGCAGTTTACCATTTTTATATTTTAACATCAAATGATTGTCTTATGGGAAATATAATTTTTTCATTACAGTTTTCTAAGCGCTATATTTATTAATAACTTTTTAATATATAAAACATATTGCATTGTTATAAATCAAAGGCCCTACACAGCCTCAAAGATGGTTTCAATAAAGTTGCTGAGTGGACCTGATCAGATTGATTGTGAAGTTTTACATTTTAAAACTAAAAGGAGAGCCCCTAAAGTCTAAACAAATATTCATATGATAAAAACAATGAATTTTCAGGACCTTAAAGGCTCTAACAACACTCTGATAGGAGTTATTTTACTTCTGATACTTTAAGTACATTTTACAGATATTACTTATGTACTTTTACTCAAATACGCCCACCACTGATTGTCAGTAAATCCCTGACAAAAACGACACAAATACATTTTGAGTTTTTCTAAATTCAAATCAAGCACTTTAAGTTAGATCTTAGCATTACATCTAGTTTCATTCATCAAGAAACAATAACTGTTTATTAAAGTGGATACACAGCAACCAATGGGGTGCACTTTGGTGCATGGAGCACAAAAGGAAGCTGGTTGATTGTTTAGAGCGAAATGTCAGCAGCTTACCGTTAAATGATGCGAGGTTAGCGTTTAGCAAGCAAGCAAATGGCAATGTACCACAGTGCAGCTTACCTTCGGGCATCCCTATGTCTAATAAAGAATAATCTGTAAAGTTTAAATAAATTAGGATTTGGTTTTGTAATTGTGAATTTATGGTTAGCATGATAACTGACAGCATATGCTTCTGTTCAGGAAGACATGTTGTTCCTTGTATTATCTCCACCAGCATTTGAAAACGTAATGATGATGAAGATGACGATAATAAAGAGGATGATGATGATAAGATAATGATGATAGTTTCAATGTAAAAGTCCATAATAAAAATGTATTACTGCTAAAAAAAAAGAGACATATACACTTTAAAATCAAAGATAACTGAGAAAAAAGTGTTTTAATTCATGAGATAAAATAAGTAGTATTCCTACTTACATCCTGTTGCACCAAAACACCAAATGTGTTAAAATAGTTTCCAACAAAGAACCTTTTCCTCCTGATTGAGTAACATTTGATAAAAACTACAGAGACCAACTGTTTTAGAAAAATACTGCACCTTTTTTAGAAATAAATTATATATTTGTGACCTGATTATCGAGGTTGAAAAGTATTGAGGGATATTTTTGTTTTGATCTTTTTAGGGGCTATATTGACAATCTAAAAAAAATGTGAATATCGTCAGCCCTTTACTTTGAAAAATATACTACAAAATGGATGTTCAGACCAATATTGGAACCCTTTTCTATTCTGAACCCCCTCAGACAGCAGCAGTGTAGGTTCAAATAAGATTTCCGCTCTTACCCAACAGGTGGGGTTGTTCCACTCTCCATCTGTCCGTCCAGGATGACCTTGTCCTTCTCCAGCTCTCCGATGATCTTACCGATGCGCCCGATCATTCGGTTCACTCTCTTCGACAGACGCTGGCTCGCCTTCGACTCCTCCAGAGCTTTCTCTTGTCCGGTCTTAGAGAGCTCCTTCTTTATCTCTTCCAGATCCTAAAAAAACACATGCGAATACACAATAGACATACAACAAAAAGACACAAGGGAAAGTCAATTATTTTTGGTATTTCTCTGAATTAAAAAATCAATTGGTCTACTGTTTAGAAAAAAGAAAGAAATCAAGGAGAAAGTTTCCCACCTGTTCCTAGTGATACGAGTAGCAATTATTATACAAATGACAAGGTGTTGGTTCAAAGATGATAAGCTACTATATGGGGGGATCTTGTAAGTGAAATATATGGAATGGAAAAAATTAGTATTCGAAATGATGTTAATAGAGTGCCTCAGTGACGCATCCTAAAACCCGGAAGTAAGCTGCGCATGGGTTCCTTCGACAAAAAAGCAATGCAATCTCTCCATAGGGTTTTGGAAAATAGCTGGAAATAAGGTCTGTGGTTGACACGCATTTAAGAGACGGATCACGTTTTGGATAATATCCACATGTCTACCCTACTTTTATCATTTTCTAATCATAAATCTATCGATCATAAATCTATCGATTAGATTAGAAGCAGGGTAGACATGTGGAAATGATCCGACTGAACAAAACGTGATCCGTGTCTTAAATGCGTGTCAACCACAGACCTTATTCGAGCTATTTTCCAAAATCCTATGGAGAAATTGCGTTGCTTTTTTGTCGAAGGAACCCATGCGCAGCTTACTTCCGGGTTTTAGGACGCGTCACTGTGGCACTCTATATCTTTGATGAAGGATTTGAAAAACCCCTTTATGTGAAAATTAACGTTTGTATGAGGATTAATGATATTTCTGTTTATTTTTATTCTATTTTTCCTTTTGATATGTTGATTGTAATTTGATGTATAATAGTTTTAATGTATATCATTTTGAAGCAACGATTACATTTCACCAAATACAAAGAAAAAAAAAACGATTTGGATTCGGTTGATGGAACATTTTCTCTCTGCGATAACTACGAGTGAAGAGCGGCACCTCGTTGTATTCCTGGACGTCGTCCTTCAGGTCTTCGAGCTCCTCTTTCTCCAGAGTCAGCAGCCTCTTCTGGCCCTTCAGCTTACAGCATGCGTCACTCAACATGTCGATCTCCTCTTTGGTGATCTCCTCACCCTGAAACACAAACAAAGGATTTTAGAAATGTGCTCCTAACTGTCAGAAATGATCGGTCCCAGTTGTGAAATCATAGACAACTTTTAGTTACTGAAGGATAAACATGTCATCTTAAAGTCGTATTTTCCCTCCAAAGTGGATACAAAGTAGGTCCAAAATGTCATATAACCGGTAACACATGTGCCTTTCATATAAAACCACATAAAAGACTAATCCAAACACACCAAATGGGTAAAGAGGGAAGCTTTAGGGGACACTGGGATACTCCCCTTAACCCAAAAAGCCATTACCACATGATGGAGAGAACTGTGGAGCTACACAAGACGTTAGTGAGAGGGGAAAGGTTCAACACGGGTCAGTGATACTGCCTGGAAGGATCCACAAGCAAAAGTGAAGGAGAAGTCCTTATATTGAAGATGTGGGTCAAACAGAATTTCTTAGCATTCTTAGCACCAGATGTTTGGTATTTTTATATAATAATTCAGGGAATATTGGTTCATTTTGTCCATGACTGCCATGGTTTGTGCACACTAGAAAGTATTCTCTGTTTAGGCTTCAAATGGAAAAAATATCAAATTCTAGTCAAACAATATTATTTTGAGTCAGTCTGTGATTGGTCTGCCCATTTTGCTTTAATCTGCTTTCTATCACAGCAGAGCTACTTTACTGATGTCGTATATTTATCTCATAACGTGTTATTTCCAGTAATTTGGATGATGTTCTTACTCTTACTGAACCTGAGGTGACATTGCAGGCTGAAATCGTTTTGGAAAATGCCAGAATTGTTTGCAAAAACTGTTAAACCCACATCTGGGTCCGCTCAGAAAGAGACCAGAGACTGTGAGTGCAGGGATAAACTGGTATAGATGTGAGGAAGGGCACTTGGGAGGAGACATCATTAAACCTAACCTGGTAGCGCAGGAATGTCTGCCACTGTTCGTACTGTGTGGTACAGAAGACGCCGGTGAAAGAGTGGCAACAGGTCAGAGACAATTAACATACAGTCTGCGTAATAATCAGTAAATAACAAACAGAAACTGGGTCCTCACAAATGATACATTCATTCTTTTAAATGCAAATACTAATACATATACAATATTGTGAAATATCTGATATGCTAAGCACAGTTTCAGAGAGTTTGTTTTCTTTAAAATGGTACATAGAAACCAAGAAATCTCCATGTCCGAATCTCATCTTAGTGCAAACAAAATTGAAAGCCTGCAAGCCGTTCAAAATGTTTTACAGATCTCACAGACGGTATGTTGGGAGACGTTACCTTGACTGGTTCTATGACCGGTGCCGTGTCCCTCAGTGTCTCCGCCTTGTCAGCTTGAACCGGCTCCGCCTCCATCTCCAACTCAACCTCCTGTAGGACAGTGATGGCGTAAATTATTATTACAAATAAACTAATAAAAGTCGAAGATGTCCGTCTTATAATCTGTAGGATAACATACACATGGCTCCTCGTGAATGTAGCTAACGTTTTCACACTTAATTAGCTGGCATGGGGACAGGTGTATAAGGCTGGGTATCGTTCCAAAATAACAATAACTAAGTAATGACCAATAAGATTATAAAGTGTAGTAGCCCAGGTCATATTCTTTCAGATTTCTGTACTTTGTTATCCATGTATATCCATCATCTGACCAGTGTTTATTTACATGCCTATTCATTTGATTGTACACTGTATCTGCCACCTAGACTCACCGTTTTGTGTATGTGTAATGTTTGTTATATTTGAAAACTTCCATACAAATATTGTTTAAAAAAAACCAACTAAGTAATGACCAAAACGTGTAAGAAAAACCTCTCAATTTCCAAAACTTGGCTCTGAAAGCTTTGATTTTATTATTACCTCACCATACATTTTATAAGTGAAGTTTTATGTATCCTAAAGGTCCCATGTCATGCTTTTCCGGTTATTACCCGTCCTCTTTTGTGTTATGAAGGTTTTTCTGCATGTAAACGGTCTGCAGAGTCACAAACCCTCAAAGTACACCCTGTAGCGAGTAAAACTCTAACACAGAAAAGACGTGTCAATGCTGCCCCAGAACGCCTCGTTGGAGATTTTTCTTTTTCCATTTTTTTCTTCCTGGTCACAGTGACGTAACGCCGACCAAATGGACCAATCCGTGGAGCTCCTCACACACACACACTCACTCAGCCTTATCTTTTCTCAGGCGGTGAGTGTGGTGAACTGTGTGGCGAACAGCCTGGCTGTGAGTGTGTGTGTGTGTGTGTGTGTGTGTGTGTGTGTGTGTGTGTGTGTGTGTGTGTGTGTGTGTGTGTGTGTGTGCGCGTACTCAGGCTGAGTTCCGCGCTGTCTCGCTGTCTCGCTGTCTCGCAGACCCCACGTAGCAACCAGGAAACGACACCAGTAACCCAGCTCACACTGTCCGCTCCTCGAGCCTCAAAGGCCGGAGCAGCGAGCCGGGCAACGTCCCGCCAACACGGCACCCAGACCCCACGCAGCATTCTCATCTGTTTGTCAATACTGGTGTCATTTTCTGGTTGCTAACTAACGCCATTGTAACACATAAACACTGATGTTCCGCTGTAACGGTGGTGGACTCATCAGAACAGAGTGGGCGAGCTGACCAATCAGAGCACAGTGGGCGAGCTGACCAATCAGAGCACAGTGGGCTCACAGGGAGGGGGGGGGGGGGGGGGGGCAGGAGCTCCCACAAGCCGTTTAGGACAGAGAGTGAATACTAGACCCTCCAGAAAAACGTGATTCTGCGATCGCAGAATTTACCGCATAATCAGCAAAATGGCGCAGATTTTTAAAAGGCCGCATATTTATCAAAAGGCCGCATAATCCCCGCATTTTTCCACACAAAGTTGAGAGAAAAAAAAGGTAACTCGTCTTGACGTGAAGTGATGATGACGCGATGTCATCAGCTCGCGCATCACAGAAGGTAAACAACACCGTAGAGTGAACGTGTGGAGCTCACACGAGAGAGAAAACACCAAGATGAAAAAATCTAATCCATCTAGTTTACCGACGAACATTTCTGCTAAAGACCGGGCAAAGCAGTTCCCCGATGTCTCGCACGGAAGTGGGGGGAAACTATTCTGCACCCCGTGCAACTGTGTGTTGGAGCATAAGAGAACATCGACGGTGACGACCCACTTTGATTCATTCAAACATTCGAAAATGCTTTCTGCTGCTGCGGACAAGAAAGCCAAACAACTCACGTTCACCGAGGCATCGACCTCCAAAACCCTTTCGAGGGCTACAAGAAACGAGGTGAGAAGCCTACAAGATTGAAGCTGGTCAGATAACGAACGAGTAAATGAAAACAGAATGAGGCGGAGAAGTGTGTGTGTGTGTGTGTCTGTGAGAGAGTGTGATTAAAATAGCCCAATTGCTTTTACAATAAATAAACATTGAATGTGTTTAATTGAATAGTAAAGGGGTTTAACGTTAGTGGCAGGTTGTGTGTGAGAGAGAATAAATAAATAAGACAGCCCAATAGTAATTTTTTCCGCATATTTCGCAACTTCCTGCAATTTCACCGCATAAAATCACATAAAACCCTGCATGCTTGATCGCATAATCAAGGATTTTTGCCCGCGTTTTTCTGGAGGGTCTAGAATACACATACTATACAGAGATGCTGTATGAGAAACCAATGTGAGTTTGGAACATTGAACAATGTGAATCTATTCTAGTAGACCTCAACAATGGAATTATGATCATTAGAAATGGCCATGACATGGGACCTTTAAATCTATTGGTGTCAAATTTGCAATCAGTGATGTCATGTTCATGTTGAGACCTTTATCAAAACATTTTGAATGACATGTTGTTGTCTAAGTAACTCAATTATTTTCTTGGAAAATCGAGATAAAAGATGATGAATGAGTGGTTACCCTGGCAGCCTTCTCTGCAGCGTCGGCCAGCCTCTCGTTCTTGCGGTCATTGTTGTCCTGGCGTATGGCCGCCTCCTCCTGCAGCCTCGTCTCCAGCTTCGCCTTATTGTCCACTTTGGAGCGCTCCATCTCTGCCATCATCGACTGGGCCTCCTTAGTCTGGAGAGGACAGCGTAGGATAGAGTTGAATGAAAAGATAATTTTTTTTATATATATTTAATTAATTTTTTAACATTTTTATTTTTGTTTTGGATCGCATTTCAACTTCAGTCTACATATGTAGTTAAATAGTTTTACAGAGTGGTCTGTCTTTATTCTTTTTCTTAACAAAACAACAACAATAAGCACACAAGAACATGTGGTGTTTTCAGTATAAATAGATCATTAAATAAAAGATTCAAACAGTTAAACAAAAGAAGGGTCGTATCAGGGTAATCTACATTTTCCATTTTTCCCAAATGTCCTCAGATGTAAGTTCCTGAAGTCTCATAGAGAAGGTTATTCTTTCCATTACAAAGATTTATTTTCGGTATATATTTTTTAAACCACAAGCTGGTGCAGCTGAGAATATTAACAGCTGTTTTACTACCGACTGATTTTGCAAGCCAATTATTCTCAGTATATAATATGAACAGTATCAATGCCCTTTTCCAGAAAGTGGATTTTGCTATGGCAAACAAGACGAAGCATATGAACGTACCACCACTTCGGGCAGCGTCTGCAGGGTGGTCTTCAGCTGGTCGGCGGGGGACAGGGTGTCGGGGAGGAACATGGCTCGGGACAGCAGCAGCAGGGAGGTGGGGATCTGCTGCTTCAGATGCAGCTCCAACCACTACAGGAGCCAAATGTAACAGTGAGTGAGAACAGACCATTTAACAGATACTTAAACTCATATTCGTATTGTTTGAGTCTAAAAAGAATCTGTGAGGGAATGAATAGAAGTAGATGAGCAGAGAATAGAATAAGGTTTCATATGTTCCACTGCATATAAAACCTCCTTTATCTCTTTTTGCTGATGTTACCTGGACGAGTTGCTCTCTCAGTCGTTCCTCTGTGACTCCCAGAGATCTCATCCCTCTGACGCGACAGGCTGTCTGCACCTCGTTCACGTTCAGACTCTCCACCCCTTCTTCTGCTATCAGCTGGAGAAACACAGATCACACAGACATTAAAATCATCAAATGTCTTCTTGAAATATGTAACTACAGAAGTGCTCTACCTATAACATCTGACCAATTTCTGATTTCCCTTTATGATAGAGTTTAAAAGTTTGAACGTAAAAGTGGAAACAAGTTGATTTTGAGTTTCATACCTTGTCATCGGCACGGATGGCCCTGAGCTTCATGATGAGCTGGAAGCGCAGGAAGTTGTTGGTCCCGATGGACTGGAGCTCCAGGAGCCGGCAGAGAGCCACCAGCTGAGGCCGGGTCAGGTTGTCCAGAGTCAGCTCGTCCTCGAACAGTTTGGAGAATTTGATGATCTGCTCATTACTGGGTCGCTCCCCGGAGTTCCGTATCTACAGACATGATAACGTTTATAAAGTTATATGTGAAGTATATAGTTCTGGGCGAGGGAAGTCTGAGAGCTAAGGCAGGTCCCATTTTTCAGGCCAATTTATAGCCGTTTTTAAAAAAGAAATCATGAAGTGAGAATACAACAGATATTAACTGTTCCTATGTTATCGAAGCTTCACCTATAATTGTGTAGCATAAAGACTAGAAACTAGAAAGATAACTGCAATAATAACCTTATTTTAAACGTTTTACTTACTAGAGTGCAACACACATACGTGGAAAACTTCCATTGTTTCCATGTAAATCCATTTTGTAAATTGTGTAACTTTTAATTTTATTCTATTTTTTACGATATTTTTTTTTACTTTAAAGGTGGGGTAGGTAAGTTTGAGAAACCGGCTCGAGATACACTTTTTGTTATATTCCATGGAATGCTCTTAACAAAAAAATCCATTAAAAAAAATTCATCTGTGGAAGCCGTAGTACTGTAAAAAGCACGAACAATCATTTTAGCCCCATCTGTGCACAAACTTATCTCGTGCCCTCATTGGTCATGTGCGCGTTCGTGTGTGTTCGGCTCTGTAAGGAAGTAGCAGATTTCTTCCGGCTGTGTATTTTCAAATTCTAGCACATTCGAGCTGGTTTCTCCAAAATTACCTACCCCACCTTTAATGCTTTTTTATGCATGTAACATTAAGCCGCCTTTGGCTCTTTTTCTGCTGTAACAACGTACATTTCCCCTCGGTGGGACTAATAAAGGTATTCTGATTCTGACCACCAGATGGCGGTACTGAGTCTGCTTTTACTAATGTTCTGCCTCAGTAAACACTGACACCAACCTTCTGGAAGAATGTGGAGAACTCCTCCGTCACGTTGCCCTGGTCCGCTTTGTTTCTCAGAGCGATCTCCTCGATGGTGTCCTGCAAGAACTTGGCCATCTCCAGTTTGACTCTCAGCTCCGTTTTTAACCTCTCCTCCTGAAAAACAAATTCAATGTGCTATCAAATCAAACTCCCCATTCTTCAAAAAACTATAATGTAAGAAATGTTGTTGAACATGGTGTTGTCAAAATTGTTATATGATAGAGTGCCATAGAATGAAAGAAATATCTTTAAGCTCTTGTCAGTAATAGTCTTGCAAGTATTGTTTTAAATTATACGGGAGGTAAATCTGTCAGAAGGAATTGCTAATTTATCAACCATTTATACAACAATAATACCAGGGGGAAAAAGGTTCTCCAATAGTTGTATAGAAATATGATAAATATATTAGTATTTAGAATTTGTGAAAACATGGAAACAGGAAATTGCCTTATTCTAAGCATTGCCAAATGTGAACTATATAGAAAAGTAGGTGATGGATTAACCTCTGTTGGTAAACACAAACAGCCAGATTACCTCATCAGCATCCTGGGTGAAGGTTCAGGATTCAAACGAAGGAGGATTGTTTTTAATCATTCAAATGTCAACGTGTTCTCAATGGACTGCCATATTAAAACAAATCCATCGCAAAACAATGACATGACACTCCATAGCTGATGATTTGATTATAACAAGTATTGTTAGCTGCGGTCTTTGATGCTACTGTGTCTCAGCCATAATTGGAATACAATGAAGATCTGAAACACATACAGATGTATTCTAAATGAAATACGTGATTACCTTCTTTGACTTTGTCTCGAAGGTAGACGGCAGCATGTTGGGGAAGAGTTTCAGAGCTACAGGAAGCAGGAACTCCATGAAGGGGACGATGATGAACACCAGGAAGGGCACCAGCCTGAAGACGTCGGCACATGTTCTGAGGAACTGGGGAGAAAACATTGAAAAAACTCATTATTTTCATATTTACACTGCAGTATGGCTTTTATTCATGTATTCTATACCTGTTGTGTTTATTTTATTATCTTTGCTTTTTAATGCCTGTTTTTAAATGCCATTGTATCATGTGTTTCTGCTGTATTTCTTCTTAAATGTTTATTTTATTTTGTAAAGCACTGTGAATTGCCGTGTGCATACATACACTTGCCTTGCCTTTACATTTAGGAAATTTGGAAATTATTTAAAATGAGACTGGTTTCAAATATTCAAATGCTTATTATCATACACACCACAGCTACAACTTTGTTGGCAATTCAATATTAAGGCAACCTCCAATGAAATAAAGAAATAAATACAAATAAATGCAATCAAACAGTGAGTAAACTGGAATAGTTCAAATGTATTCATATAAATTAGAAGATAAAAGACCATGTCAAATTAAATAGTGTAGAGTAGAAACAAATACTGTACAATTTGTCTATGTGGATATATGGAATAAACAGGTGTGTGTGTACTGTGTGGTATTCACAAACTGATACCCATGTGCACTTGTATTCACATTATATTACAATGTAAACCAGTGTCTGCTTGTGTTGTGTTGGTTTTCATTGATAAATATTGCTTTACATTGAAGCGCCATTCATTCCCAGCAGACCTCCAGCAGGGGGCAGCAGTGAGGGGACAGGCTAAATATGTGAACATGTTTTTTCTTCCTTTGTCTCCTGGTACAATCACCCTGCTCAATCCCTCTAGTTTCTACACTCAGCACTTTTTTAACCCCCATACATCCCCAGGGCAACAGAAACCTCCTAATTCAATGCTGCGTCATTTTCTATAGACCAAAGTGAACATTCTGCCTCACAAGGCTCAGGAACTGTCCCCTAGTGAGGACACATTTGTGAAGCACAACCCTGAACAATCCTCAGAGTATAGAAGTACCAGGCTAACGCTAGTCTACTTTATTGTTCTGCTGTCCAACTGTGGCTTACTGACGCAATACAGAGACGCAATCCCAACCAACCATCTAGAGAAAAGGGAGTAGAGAAGGCCAAAACACAAGTCCCTTTTTCTCCTCCTGCATGTCAGCGGACCAGTAGGGTGAAGGGTTTAGGCCGGCCCGAGTGAAAAGGCCTTTGTCTGCTTGCCCATTGACATGTATATCATCTCCCAGAGTTTCACCTCAAAAGGAGGGAGCAGGGGGGGTAACAGATTAAAATAGAAGAAGCCTTAAATGGAATATGAAAGGAGGAGATTAAGTAGGCGATGGCGCTGCAGGTTAGATGAATGGGGTGGAGATGGACTTCGGGAAATGTGCTCAGAGGGAGTCAGCTGCATTTGAAAAGGTGCAGATGGGGGAGGTTTAATGGGGGGGGGGGGGGGGAAACTGTTGTCATCTGCAGCAAAGAGTCACTGTAAAAGGGACCAGGCGTATTTCAGCTCTGCTTTGTGCTGTTGCACCATCGCTTTGCAAAGCACGAGGGGTCCCATTATCTTTGTGTCTGTATAACTTGTGAAACTGCTTTGTAAACACGCCTCTGCAGCCATGTCTGCAAGTAAAACACCTGTACGTTCCTGTATATGCTCCTGCTATGAACTTATTATAGCAAGTATTTCATTATTATCCTTGTAAAGAAAGGCTCTCTTAAAGGTGGGGTAGGTAAGTTTGAGAAACCGGCTCGAGATACACTTTTTGTTATATTCCATGGAATGCTCTCAACATCCCGATAGCAATGAATATCTTCAGTGCTTTGACAAAAAATCCATACAAACAGTCATCTGTGGAAGCCGTAGTCGCTGTAAAAAGCACGACCAATCATCTGAGCCGGGCCCGGCTAAAAGTAACTGGATGGCCTACCTGCCTGTCAGCCTTCCATCTGTGCACAAAATTATCTCAGTGCCCTTATTGGTCATGTGCGCGTTTGTGTGTGTTGGAGGAGGGGCTCTGTAAGGAAGTGGCAGATTTGTTCCGGCTTGTGTATTTTCAATTCTAGCTCACTCGAGCTGGTTTCTCCAGAATTACCTACCCCACCTTTAAGGCTTTTTAGTAAAGTGTGATTTTCATGGCAGGATACACTCACCAGCCCAACTGTTAATACTTTGCTGTACATTTTCGAATGTTCAAGAAAAGTTTTTATCAGTCAAACATTATTTTAAAGTGATATATCTAGTTAAACAGCATTAGCAGCAGAGGTCTTTTAAAGAGCAGCCGCACTCACAACTTGCCAAGTGGGTCCACTAAGTCTGTAGCGTCCCGTCTTATGAAAGTAGTGTCACCTGAACTGACCTGCTCATCTTGCCTGAAATAGCACCCGCACCTGCATCAGAGTACTGCAGTAACACTGGGATCAATACAGACAACTTCCCTGACTGCAGGCCGACTCAAAACAAGAGGCAGGCCACGGCAAAAAGCACTTTAACAACATTTCATCAAATAGCGGTTTTCCTTTTAAGCAAATATGTACTACTGTTTACTTCAAGGAATGCTGTTTGGAGAGCTTCAACCACCGAAACAATGCTTGGAAACTTTGGCTAATGTGACGCTAAAGTCAAATGAGTTTTATTTTCAAAGATAAAGCCTCTTCCTAAAGAGCTTTAACCACACAGCACAATCTGCTGAGCGCCTGATTAGTAAACACTCACAGCCAATTTCTTGAATCCCATTAGGTTTGAGAAGCTATGGATTAAACCGTACAGAACAAGATGTCTGGGCTGTCAGACTTAAACCGTGCTCAGTCACCTCTGGTCTTTAAACTCATGCTGCTAATCCACTCGGTAAACTCTGACTGGAAAAAAAGCTTCACTGGAAACAATGGCTGATTGATTCATACTTTGTTTCTGTTCAAATATCTGACAGAATTCATTTACTTACCAGATGTGGTCACATGTTACCAGCAATGTATGTTTGCTAAGCCCTGCCTGATTCAACACAGGGGTAAAGCAGGTTTCTAAACTTCTAGCCAGCAACTAGCAATTTGCAGACCAACATGTCAACAGGTTTTGGCAGCTCTAGCTAGCTAGCTGTTTCAGCTAAAGTTAGCCACATGAAATGTTTGAAAGAGACATGTTTTGTGGTATTTTTAATGTTTTCCAGCTGACTCATTGGAAAAAGAGAATCATGTTGGAGACTCAAACATATCCACTTGATGACATACATGATACAATCTTAAAAGACTAAGGCTAAAGCTGCATCCTTCAAGCAAAAAGACACCATACATCCATACATGCTGAGCCAAGTTGCTAAGCTTGGATAATTGCAATGCTCTTCAAGGGAGGGGTTTACCAGTTAATGCTGCATCAAGACTGTAAGGAAGGAAGATATATGGTGTTCAAATACACCTACTGTACCTCATACTTAGGGCTGCTCCGACTGTAGCTAACTGTGGTCGTAACTTTTACCTTTGCGATTACCTACATTCTGATTCTGACCTTTTAGCAAAAAATAACTACACTTTAATGCATTTATTTTTGGAACGTCAGCTTTCAGTACAAGGAACCGAATAAAGAATAACTGAAAACCCAATACTCCAGTAGAGCCGTTTACGCGCCAAATGTGGAACAATGTTAATAGGTGTGCGAATGTGAGGGTCGCATTACTAAAAAAGCATGTCCCTTTAAATAAACGCATTTAATGAAAGCATCATTCTAACAGATATGTCTTCCAGAGGAACCTTTCATACAGGATATTTCCCCTGCAGGCCTCACCTGTCTCCTCTCTCGGCGGGACAGCGGGTGTCCGTTCAGCACCTGCCACAGCATGCGCCCAGCGATGGTGGTGTCGATCCACAGCAGCCTGAAGCCGTGGTAGTAGTGTTTGACTTCGTCTACAATCCACTGTCGGACGGACCTCCTCACGCGCTCTGAATCCTGCATGGGGCTGTACACCGGCCCGCCTTCCTCCATCGTCTTTTTCTTGTCCTTTAATATACGCAGGGACTTCTCCACCTTGGAGTCGTCCCATCTCCTCCTCGAGGTGTGAATCCACCTCACACCTCGGATGTCCTGCGGTCGGGCTAACGTCCACTGGGGCCCTGTTGTGATGGCGGGGTACGCTGAAGAGGAGGCCCCCAACATAAAAGCACAGTGGATGCGCTGGGAGTCCGGGCTCTGGCTGGGGCCCACGTACCCATCTGACAGGAGGAGGGAAGGGCCAGAGGGAGAGGCCTGGGCCAAACTGCCCAGCCGGAGCCCATCAAGTCTAAGAATACACCAAGATAAAGAGCATGAGAACAAAGACATGCTAAGTCTTAAAGAATTATGAGATCACATTTATTAGAATAAAATATCAGTCAGTTTAAAAAAAACTCTAAATAATAGCCTATTGGAACAACATTTTCAAAATGAATAGGAATTAAAATTTTCACAAGATATTATGAATATTTTGATGATTTCTAAATCTGATAAAACACTTCTTGTGAAAATTGGTCTAGTTTGCAATCTTTTAAAATGAGGTTTGGAAAAGTACAGTAAAGGTATACCAGACTAAATAAGCAAAAAAACAACACCTCAAAAGATGACTTTGAAGTATAAGATTTAACATGGGTCACTTATCTGCAAGAATTTGAACCAGGCTTGAACAGGGGCTTTTTTTATTATTACATAATAGCAAAATCCAAGAAACCGCAAAAGCTTTAAAGTCCTTTGAAACTGAGTGCAAATCTCAAAATGTAATATATACCGCACGGAAGACCTTTTAAATTATTTGGTTTCAAATTAGGCCAATATAAGCTTCTCTCTAATGTGTGCGGGACATATAGACACTGTCGCATTTCATTGGCTTACTTTTGACTGGAGAGTCTGAGCGCTGTGCAGTTGAAACAGGCACCATCTTGTACTTTCCCTGAAAGGAGGAGAAAAACAACATGAGCAGCTGTCTTCTGAAAATCAATCATTAGGCAGAGAGGGACATGAAAACATACATAATAGAGGAAACTAAGGGATTTCAGCAGCTATATTCAGGTTTTAACCGGTCTGATACTTTAATGCTACTTTTTCTCTGACCCAGTAATGACGTGAGCAAAACCCCAAAGCAGCGCTTGTAACTGGTTATGCAATAACATCATATAACGTGAAGTCCCTCCTGATGCCTTTAGTGATAGTGTAGCTAAGAAAGTATAACTAGTCTGCTGCTATCTACATTCAGGCTTCACAAATTGTAGCAGTAGAATTGTACTTCTGTACTGCAATATTGAGGTACTTTTTAGTACCTATAATGATCCTATGGAATATGATGCCATGCTATAAACTATCCAACAGATACAAGGAGTTAACATTTGCATAACGTAATACATCTACAGACAAAAACACAACGTACACATTAATGCATTAGTAATATTAATTGATATGAATAAATATCTTTATTTTACTTTATGTATCTGCAAATACCTCTTCCACACAAATGAGGTGCTACATTCTTCTGTTATTGTCTTTACACTGATCTGTCTTGGAGACCACCCTGACCCTGGGAGGCCAACAGGGCTCCCAAACCCCTGAGGCCCCCTTCAGTGTGATGTACATGCAGAGAGGAGGCGGAGTAGTGAGACCCTTTCAACCAATCAGGTCAGAGCACATGGCCTAACCACGCCCTCCCTCCTGCACTCACATGACCCACTGCAGTGGATCCAGGGAGGCCTGGTTGAACATGTCAGGAGTTTACTGGAACAGTGTCACCTTTGTGGCTGAGCGGCCGCCTCATGTGGTAAATAAAGAAAAGGCTAGAAATACAGTAGATTAGCTAACCCTGTAGCAGGTCAAGCAGTATAACCTCAGTCCTCTGGGTTTGATCCTCTTGGGGGTCTTACAGTTTTGCTTTCACATTTAGTCAAAGATATTTCACTTTTCACTTTCACTTTGTAATTCTGGTTGCACAACTATCATAAATCAAATGGATACACTTTAGAGCTACAAGAAAATATGTTTATTTTAACAAGTGTACAGATGTATGGCACTAGGTAATACCACTATACTAGCTGTGTTCCTGCTAGTTGATGTGTTGCTTTAACACATTGACAACCGTTAGGAGGACCTTATATCTTAAAAAAGGAGTACTTAAAGGTGGGGTATGTAATTTTGGAGAAACCAGCTCGAGTGCGCGAGAATTTGAAAATACACAGCCGGGAAAAATGTGCCACTTCCTTACAGAGCCCCTCCTCCAACACACACGAACGCGCACATGACCAATGAGGGCACGAGATAAGTTTGTGCACAGATGGAAGGCTGACAGGCAGGTAGGCCGTCGTGCTTTTTACAGAACTACGGCTTCCACAGATGACATTTCTTTATGGATTTTTTGTCAAAGCACTTCAAATATTCATTGCTATCGGATGTTAAGAGCATTCCATGGAATATAACAAAAAGTGTATCTCGAGCCGGTTTCTCAAACTTACCTACCCCACCTTTAATATTCCATGGGGGCAATACTAAACCTTGTGTGAATTTTAAAATAGGGTTAGGGTTGTTTTTTTTATTATTCAACCAATGATCATGGATTGTCAGCATATAACATAAAATAAAAGCACTAGTGTATATAACACCCTTTATTGTTAGGCCCTTGCTTCAGTCAATGAAGATTCTCCCTAAAATGCCTTTAATGGAAACAATTATAGAAACCCAGAAGGAGCAACAACAACGTGAGACGCATGTTTATACAGAGTGGAGAAATGACAATTCTGGAGACTTATTTCAAAAAGTTAACTTCACTTATGTAATTGCATTCTCTGTTTCTCTGGCAATCATTCATGTCTTACTGTGTAGATAAACTTGCAGAATAAAGAAGAGATTATGACACAAACTTTAACCATATTCTAGTAAAGTAAAACTGAAAATGATTCTAGTATTTTGACCAAAGAAAATCAAATCAGAATAAACTTCTTTAGCATGGGAGCAACATTTGATTTCAAATCAAAGCACTACTATCTTATTTATTTATCTGCACACCTCAGATGTAATATTTCTACTGAAGATAGGGCTGCTCAATTAATCGTATTTTAATCGCAATTACGATTTTGGCTTGCAACGATTATGAAAACAACATAATCGAAATAAAACGATTATATTTTTATTTCTTTTTTTAAATGTAAAAAATATTTTTTTATTGGTTTTCCAGTTGAATTATTCTTAAAGTTCAGGATAATCAACTGTTAAAAACATACTGTTCACATTTTGTTTTTCAATAAACGGATGTTTTCAAAGTAAATGGATAATCGTTTTTAATAATCGTGATATCAATTATTGACCCAAACAATCAAGATTATGATTTTTGCCATAATCGAGCAGCCCTAGCAGAAGAGTATTCTGTATTAATTGGTGTTGGGTAGGATTATGATAACAATGGTCTTCGGTTTTGACCCCTTTTTGTTTTTAGGGTCTAGCCTTGAAAGGTCATGACCCATTCATGCCCTGCTACGCCTGCTTGGCGTTACATGCGATCGCTGCTTGATGTTTGACCCGCAGCCTGAAGTTGTGAGTCTGTTTTGTGTTAAATCACTTCCTCATGTGTTTGTGTGCACCCTGGAGCCAGCTCAACTCACAAGTTGATACTTTGGTTCTCAGCCATTTCAACAAATATAATGATGTGTTGCACAAAAACGATCCATACAGGTCTTTTAACATCTTAGATTGGATCTTATGCAATTCATAGGATTGCTGGTAGGGCCATAATCATTTCTTTAACTGGGCATCTCCCACCAAAGATGATTCCTTGCATTGTGCTCTAAATCCAGGGCCATTATGAGCTTAATTGAAATTAATTATATATATTTTACATGGCTACTATTAACATAGTAATATAGTTTACACACTGGCAACTTAAAAACAAACCATAAACAAAAAATAAAGTTGTTTACTGGACAGTATGTTACTAAGCCAACGTCCAGACTGCGGTGCGTTTTGATATGCAATACTTTCTGTCTATGTGGCTTTAGTGGCTCTCAAATGTCAAGTATCTTCTGTCGCACACACAGTCCATCAAATATGACGTTTCTGGGTCATCATTTCCCGTTGGACAACGCTCTCGGTCACACTGACAATAAGTGAACAGACGACCAAAATATACATTTTCAAGCAGAAATGCTAAATGTGTGAAAACAGGGCTTTTAACAAGCATAGAATAAGTTAATAAAAATATATACACTGTTTCATATTGTAGCAGATGGCACCTTGAAACAATAACTAATCGGACACTTACAACAGTGCATGTTTACCATCACTTTATTGCAACGGAAACCTTATCGTTTCTCCTGTAGTTTATTTACACCGTGTTAGATAATGCCATTACCTTTACTACTTCTGACCTTGCAACCTTAGTTTGATGACTGCTTCAAATCCAATCTGCAAAAACTGCAAGCTGGTCAATGTTCAAGAGTGAATGTAGCCCATTGGTCACTATTATTATGGAATTAAATGCTGACTCTTTATTGGCTGGTTATTATTAGGGCAAAAATCCTAATCTCGATTGTTTGGGTCAATAATTGATATCACGATTATTAAAAACGATTATCCATTTACTTTGAAAACATCCATTTATTGAAAAAAAATATGTGAACAGTATGTTTTTAACAGTTGCTTACCCTGAACTTGAAGTATAATTCAACTAAAAAACCAATCAAATAAATAATTTTAAAAATAAATAAAAATAAAATAAATAATCGTTTTATTTCGATAATGTTGTTTTCATAATCGTTGCAAGCTAAAATCGTAATTGCGATTAAAATATGATGAATTGAGCAGCCCTAGTTATCATTATTGCACCAGAATATAGTAGTGTCCTCCACCACACTAGCTGCATGTAGTTAAGCTCTCCTGTCAGCGGAAGAGACGTAAAGAAAGGGGAGACGACGCTCAGCCTGTCTCAGGCGGATTTAGGAGAGGCACTGCCCTTTCCTTGTGAAAGCACCACAATTCGTCTGAGACTCTGGGCTCAAAGCCAAGTGCTCAGCCTCAGTCAGGCCAGTGCAGACAGACCAATTCCCTTTATGACCTACTCATCTATTTATAAGCAAAGCTTTAATGCACCAACTAAGAGACATGCAATCACACTACTCGAGCTTTGACCTCTAATATCTTCTTCCTGACAACTGTGAAAGACGTTACACATTGAATTTAACACAAAGGGTGCAGGGAAATATACGACCTTAATATCCATGCCGGTTATACAACGGCTAACATGAAAACCTTATCAAATTATTTGTGATAGGAAATTACTGAGTTGGTCTGCAGCCACATTTACTTTGACCACTGCCCAGTTTAAGATTGTACAAAAAAAACATATATTGCCAAACAGTATATTGTGACCCTGTCATTTTCTTGGAAATGAATTGAGAAACCAGGAATGCATGTTTAGTCTAATGTGTTAAATACGTGACAAATAACTGTGTTTGTTGATCAAAATGATTGCTCAATGATTTGCATAATGTTCCACTATACTTTCATACACCCAGAGACAATTTATGAAATACTAAAAGCTTGATTACACTGTAAAGGTAGCACAAAGATACCTGTGAAGTGTTTGTGTCCTCCTGCCCAGGGACTGCAGGTATAAAGTAGCTAGAAGCCAAATCTGGTACAAAGCATCCTTTTCTCTTTGTATGAGATTCATTTAGTGTGCACATGTGCATAGAATAACACCCCTACAAATCTAACCCATGATATCTTATTGCATAATTCAAATGGTGAGACATATTCTGTGTATTCAAATAAATAAGTCACATGTTTGAAAATGCACAACATCCTCACAGGGCTCTGCATTTGCTTCATCCAACCTTCTTGTGGCTCAACATTACTCATGCTTGTCCAAACATAAACAATATTAATACAACCTAGATAAACTGTGCTACAGGATCACAAAATCGGCACAAAAAATAGTGTTATTCGTTTTATATCCAACAAAAACATCTTACTTTGATATTCGGGTATCTTGTGAATGCTGATTTTAAAGGGGGACCTGCCTGCACTGACAACAAGCATCCTCACAGGCTGAAGAGGAGGGGGCGCTCTGCAGTAATAACAGACGCCAGGTTGTCCTCAGATAACCTGCATCCCAAATCATGTTTTGCTCCTTATTGATCAGAATGGGTGCAAGCTGCAGAGCCTCGAGAACTGACAAACCTAAACATTATGCAATATAACCTTTATGCAAAGTATAAACCAGAATACATGACAGGCGGTTTAAAATATTATGCTGGGTTATCACCTTCAGACATCCATCATCTTCCCAAAAGCACAAACATGGCTCCTGCATACAGGACTGATCATGATACTTGCTAATGACTGGCTTTATTTCGTCTCTATAGTCATAATAAACAGGTTTCTTGTGGATGCTGGATAAACAGACAGGATCCTGTCTGATTAACCAGCTTTTGATAAAAGCGTCTAACAAGTAACATGTAATCCTCCCTGCCATAACACGGAGCATCCTCACAGACTGCAGTAGAAAGAGGGGGGTGCTCATATAACCTGAATCCGCCATCATGTTTTGACTCCTTATATCAGAAAAGGTGCGGTTCAGAGTCAGGCGACAATTTGATAACACAAAAGCTTTACGTGCAATAGAGCCTTTAAGCAGAATAGTAACGGATGTAGCTTTAGCTCGCCTCCATACCAGTATACACTTAGTAACTTACAAAGCATATAACAAATGATCATAATCAAGTCTTACCTTTACTTTTCCTGAATTCGTTCTTCAACGACCTGGATGTTTTCATTAAAGGTGCCCGGGACCTCGTCAACAGGATTAACGCCATGCGGAGGCTTTCTGTTTGAACTCCTTTAAACAGTTACAGTAAATTAAGAGCTAGTTAGCCTGCTAGCTAGCCAGTGCGTAGTCAATACGAAATACACCGCTAACTTTGTCACATAAAGAAATAACACCCCACAAAATACTTGTTTGCTTTTAACAAGCTACTACGCATGTATAACTGTATAACTGTACACCGGAAAATGTCGGTGCATGTCATGCCCTTCCCTTCTACGCAGATGACAGCTAACCGAACCCGGCTCCCGACTGACGTCAATCTGGGGTTATTGTTAAACTGCTTGAGGTTATGAAAGACTTCCGTTTGTTTATAAAATAAAAGCATGTGTTTCCGTGTTGGACGAGCTTTTCAGGGCAAATGTGTCAAGGGCCTCTTGGCCTGCCCTGAACCTACAACATGTTACTAAAACAGACATGTAACAACCACAAGGAGACTCAAAATGGTCACAACAAAACAACAGGAATAAGAAGCTGCTAAAAACACAATGGGGAAACAAATGTAAAATATTTAAAACACAAACAATTCACAAAACACAACGTATGATACATTGGCTTTACTTTGGATAAATTATTATACGAATATTGAGACATATGAATTGAAATAAAATAAGAATAAATACAAATCAAGGACCAGCAATAACACAGAAAAGTCCTTGAAAAATTACTGGCAAAGGGTGTTTAGGAGAATCCCAGTAATCAACCATTTTAAGTTGCATGGGTAAAAGGAACCACATCCTGAGTTCTTCATGAACAGACTACTACATTTTGTAGCATTGTGTTAGAAATAGTTTCCCAATTGATTTGTGTTTCCCCTTTTTTTACCTTAACACAACCTGGCCTTACACCTTTGTCCTCTGCTTTGTTTAACATCAACCCAACATTGACCTTGAGTCTGAAATAAAGATTGAATGAATCAAAAACAGTAAACTCCCACAGAGCACAATCATAACAAAATAAAATAAATTGAAGCAACCAACATCATTGTTGTTGTACTTCTTATTTTGTGTGAAAGTTACCGTTAAATGTATCTGTGTGATGAGATGTCCACATGCTCAAGTCATCTCTCACCCGATGTCATTCATTGTTGGAATACTCCATCAAGAATGGTCTTTTATGTTGAAAGGCAAAGGTTTCCGGATGTGGTCTGTATTATTTTATTTAGTTTCACGCCCCTCAGTTTCCCCTGTTGGTACTGCAGCTTGCATTTACTTCACACAAGCAGGGAAGCATGTGCTCTGCCATGACCGGGTCGTTACCAGGAAGAGGAATTTAGATCAACATGTAATTCAGCTGATGTAATTATAGGTCCTCAATTAACGTTTGACCTCCGGTTATTTAATTAAGACAAGGAACAGCATATCCTAGAAGACTGCAATCCACTCCTAATGAATTAACCCAAAGGAATCCACCATTAAAACATATAGCTTACCAGACCACGACCTTAGTATACAGGTATACAGACACTGCATGAACATGGTTAGTGATTTATAGTAGCAACTTTTCCCTTATAAAAGCTTACGATAAATTGCATCACATAAGACAAGTGGGCTGAATGTAAAGACTTATTCCTTATGTCCATCAAAATCAAATAGCAGGATTAGAAACTATTGACCACTATATTGCAAATTCAATATGTTATCTCATTTGCAATTTGTTTTGAGTTTTTGTTGTTATGAATTTTTTTACTAAATGAGTAAAATGATAGGCCTCCTCCCTTTCAAAAAACTATTTTAAATATGTCATAAAGTGCCAATATTCTTTAACATACAAGCACTAATTCAATGTGTTTATGTTACTTTACATATTTCACACTGTTTTGTTGAAGCCCTAATGCTGATATGGTAGGAGAAAGTGATATTAAGCAGTACATAATATACATGTATACTTTTAACGACACTTAGTAGTGAATAAGTGGTGTAAGAAACACACACATACAGTGATCGTATTGAGTATTAAATAATAATGTAAACGTTGTGAAATTATGTCAAAACAGATGGAGACACCGGGTCAGGCAGCTACTTCCTACGGTTGGGTTTTTGAAAGGACCGGTTGGAGCCTCTCTCTGCTGCCGACCAATCGGAAGTGAGTATTTTTCGCGCTGGTTGGCCGGAGATTTTGAGTTTCCCGCAAGCTTTTGATTCGACTTGAATGAAATCCCTCTGCTTTTCAGAATGAATACGGACATGTATCCACTATAACGACCGAGAGGAGATTCAACAGGTAATCACAAAGAGACTGTCTTTCATGTTATTGTCAACCCTGGAGACATTAGCCGGCGTTAGTTTTTCGCGTGTACACTTGTTCGCCCCGACCATCCATTTTAGCAAGAGAGGACCTGCTAGCTTGAATGCTAGCTGACTGTGCTAACACTAGGGCAATTTGACTGTAAGCTTGTTAGCTTCGGCTAAAACCGTTAGCTTGTTTGAAACGAGCTGTCATGGCGCCTGCAAATTCAGTACACCACGGAAATAATAGATAAACAGTTTAAAAACACTACGTCCAGCCGTACACCATTGTGTTTAGTTATTCACGTATTTGTTTTTCTACGTTAGTTTATAGGTGGCTGCGTTTAGCTTTTTGGGAAGCGGCTTTGACTATTTGCTGGAATGCGTTGTAATGGCTGACTAGCTATGACAGAGATGCGGTTGTGCAGTACGGGAAAACTCTTGTCCATGGATGGTATCCATGAAATTCCCACATCGTGGCTGCTTCTTCAGATTATAGTCGAAGCCCTGTTGTGTGGATGACGTGCTGTGCATCTGCTGGCTCCATATATTTCACGTTGGCCTCTGTAATGTTTTTGTGAGTTAACGTTAGAATCTTAAAAATGCTTGCGTTAATGTTACTATACACACCCGTTGCATTACAAGTGACGTAATGTTCAGCTAATTAACAATGCACTCTAAGGTGAACCCCCATGTAACCCGTTTTTTTTACTTATGTGGGATACATTGAAATCCATCAATTATTCGCACCCCATTAGCAATACTCCGACTTGTCAGCTGCTTCCATTTCCGCGGCTTTTCTAGCCGGTGATACGGCGGCAGCACAGCTAGCCTCCCACTCATTGGGTATTCGCTGCATGCGGTGGAGCCAGCATCCAGCCTCCTGCATTCTCCACACCGCTGTGCATCAGCTAGCCGCTAGCTAGACCTTTTCCAGGAGAAAGCCAAGTTAAACACTGTCGTGGTAAGAGGCTTTCCGCCTGCACTGTGCTTGTTGTTCGTATGCATGGATCTAATTGATAATTACATGACCTCGTTCACATTATCATAGTTGTGATCAACGAATAGCTCTGGATTTCATTGAGGCATTACTTTACAGAGGCATTGTTGTTTCTGACATATGGTCATGGTATGAGTCCACTTTCTTTTTAAAACATTGAAGAATACAGGATTAGAACAATCCGTGACAGGTGCAGTTTTCTCAAACGCCTCCAAGCTCTCTGTTCATTCTCCGCTTGAGCAAGTGAGTGCCATTTTCTAAAATATGTAATGTTATGCCCATAGGATTCGTATCCCAGAATGCTATTTTACAAATTGCCAGAATGAAGAGTACCAATAGTTGTTTTTTTTATGATATTTGTATGTTGTCTGTGTGCTAAGAACTTTCTGCCCTACCTTGTAGTGAGCCTGGAGGGGGTTGGATGGGATGGACGGCATAGGTAGCTCCCTGCCTTCAATGCCAGAACCTGCCAGCCCAATCAACATGAAGCAGCCGCCAGAGTCCCTCAGTGTTCGGAAAGGAGGGGGGGACATGAGCAATGACCCTGCTTTACTAATGGACAAAGCTGCTGCTCAGCTAGCCGCCACACTACAGGATGGCCTACAGAAGATGGCTGGCCACAATCATATCACCCACAGCCACGAGAGGCTCAAAGATCTCACCTCCATTATGCTGAATGGCGACCAAGACACGCTCCCTAAGCTTTGTGCTCCAGAGCTACCTATGCTTAAGGGCGCTGAAGCCCCTTCTACGAATGGCACCCATCAACATAATTGCACTCCTCATACTGAACATGAACTCAAGGAACAGCAGCCGCTGTTTGAGCAATGTTGTGCCAATGGGACCAGTTTGGCCACGGCCACCGAAGGTACTTTATCAGGACCTGAGAAGAGACAGGACTCAAAGAAAAGGAGGGTGGGACCTCACAAACCAAACCTACTTGCTATCCCTGTGGAGCCACTTGACCTCACCAAGGCTGTAGATGGACCAGCTGAAAAGGTTTTGCTTTTATTCCTACTTTTAAGCCATTTACTTCATGTCATCCCCTCTCAATCCCCCCCTCTCCTGTCAAACTTTGGCGGCTGTCCTATGTAGTAGTAATAACAATCACAATAAAGGTGTAGAAGCTCAATATATATCTACCGAAATATAAGGAAGAACTTCTGTTTGTCATGCATGGTTACAAACCACAATATGCCTAGCTAATACCGGTTTAAAGATAAACCTGATGATGTGCAAATGTTTTGCTGACGGATGATATTAAACCAAGTAAAGAGTAATACATGTTGGTACAAACTGTACCAGGCCTCACATTGAAAGTTGAATTCACTGTGAATTTTGACAGAGAAATAACATTTGTTCAATCTGTTGACATTCAAATATTTGCCCACATACCTTGAGGAAATTGATGCTCAATCTGAAGTAAAAAAAAAACTTCAGCATAGGCTTAAAATGTTGGAAAATGATATACATGTCCTTAAACCTTAATGCACAACTGCAGATATTGCTGTTTGTATTGTTTTGTCTGGAAACTGTAAAGTACTTGTATTGATGTACGTGTCTAAAATTGTGTGGAAAAACTATTGATTTTTTTGTAGGAGAGAAAAGGTGATTTGGATTGGATCAGTTTCTATTTTATTCTTATTAATTAATTGTTTGTTTTTTTCCTCTTCTGCAGCTTGAACTTATTGAAGAGTTTCCGCAGGATAAAAAAGAATCCCCTCTGCTGATCCGGTTTTCTATTGGTGATTTGGTTTGGACCAAAGTGTCAGGATACCCCTGGTGGCCTTGCATGGTGACCACAGACCCAGATTTCAACACTCACATTAAACAGAAACAGAAAGGTGAGAAACAGTCTCCACCACTTTTTTTCAAGAGGCTCTGTTTTTATATTAATATTAATCCTGTGTGTGTCTGCTTTTATTTATTATAGCAATCACTACCAGGTATGGCCCCCTCTACCATGTGCAGTACTTTGGAGACGCTCCAGAGAGAGGCTACATCTTTGAGAAGAACATGGTGACCTTTACTGGGGAAGATCAATATGAGGAGCTTATCCAGCGCAACAAACGACCAGCCTCCCGTGAGATTCACAAAAAGGTAAATTAGATTCTTCTAGTGTGACACCCTTTTCTTTTGGCCTGTAGATGATGTGGTGTGCTTGTTGTTAAGACAGAATTGCAACATTAAAACGTTGCACTTCCCTAAACTGTTTTATGCAAAGTTCCCTCTGGTGATTACATTTCAAAAATATTAAATGAAGAAGCATGTGCCATTTAAAAAAACAACAACAACAACCCTGAAACGCATTAAACTAACAGCCATCCCAGTTAGACTTTCATTCTGTTTTCTTACCACAAATAGGAAATGAATAATGTTTACAACATAAAAACGATACATCCTAGTAATCAAGTTTGTAAACGTTTTTAATTCTCTCCTCAATGTAAGACAAGTATTTCTTTGTTAATGGCCTTCTCCTAGCAGCATATATTCCAGAGGAGAACACAAAGATTAAACAATACTACTGGGTGGTAATTTATATAACTTTTGTATAACTATGTTTCTTTCCCTCCCTTTGCCATGCAGACGGCTTCCTCTGTGCCCCGTAAACTCCAGACTCAGTGGAACATGGGTGTCATGCAGGCTAAGGAGGCCATCAGCATGTCACAGCACGAGCGCAAAGTGAACTTCACATTTCTGTACGATGAGGACGGTCCTCACATGAACCCCTGCATCCTGGAGAAGTTGAAGCCAGAACCGAGCAACGAGCAGGCCCAGGAGACAGAATCGAGACTCAGCCCAGAACCTCCCTCCCTGATGTTGGGCGGCGCCGCAGACCCCATAGCCGCCCCTCAATCCCAAGAAAGCACTTCAACAGAGAAAAAGACACGAGCACCCAGAAAACAACTCAACTCAGGAGGAAGCCGAAGAACGGGCAAAGGCCTTCTAAAAAATGTACTATCGAAAAAACTGCTGAAAAAGACACTTTCTTCCAAAGATGTGATTCATCCGCAGCCAGCCTCACAGGTGAGGATTATTCATTCAAATCAGTGGATCGCTTGTGTCCTGCATCATTTAGAGTTATTTGAATGCAGACTTGCAGAAACGGGTTCATGGAGCAGGTAAATGTGGGACCTTCCATGAAACGTTCTGAAGTGCAAATGAAACCGTGGATAAAGCCATTTAGCCTTGCATAACCCAAGAAGTGTCTTTTTTTTCTGCTGTATTGACGAATAGGCTTCAACATGATAAACAGTCTTATAAACGCACAACTTATTGACCTTTTTAAATAGAAACAAATATTTATTCTAATACAAAATCAATCTGTGAAAATACTGTAAGCAATTTTGAATGTGAATACGTAAAACCCTAATTGTGTTATACTAGGGTTTTTGGAACGTTTTTGCCTTTTTGCGATGGTGTCAGTTGATACATGTCTTAATGATTTCTTTCTAGGATGCTACCACTTCTGCACCAGACCTGGAAGCTGAATCAGACATACCTCAGAAGAAAAAGCGAAGACCCCGACAGCCTCAGTCTCCCATAAAGATCGTGAGGAGACAGAAAAAATCTACAACGGACACAACTGCCCCAGTAAAGAAAAGGAAATCGAAGCTGGTTTCTTCGACAGACAATATCTCAGAGCCAGTCCCACTTGCAGTTTCAGTTCCAGGTTGGTTGAAAGTTGAAACTTAGTATGAGTTTACTAGAGCTGTGGAATCCGTGAATTGCCTCATGTTGCTATCAAAATGCTGAAGTGGTTGTGTTATTGTGGCATTTATCTCTTAATGTGACCAGACTATTTAAGAACTTTGCATCCTGATTGTATAAAAAATGTTTTGTTGGTGTTGTTATAACCATGTAAGCCATTCAACCTTGATTGCACAATTGCTGTTTGATAGTTGGGTTGCTTGTTAATGTGTTGTGATTGACTAAGTGAAAAAAAGCCATAGAGAATGTGTCATTTAAGTGAATGTGCTATTTCATCCTAAGCACTTTGAATTGCCTTGTGTTGAAAAGTGCTATATAAATAACCTTGCCTTGCCTTATTTGAGTGTGACAATTTATTTTAGACTTATGTTTTCTTAAGCAACGTTTGGTTAAATTCATCTTCAAGCCACTTTAAAGCTGCCTTTAAAAACATTGTTTTCATTTCTTGTGCTATCCCTTAATGGCAGATAACATGTTTGATTCAGGACGAAGTTAAGGTTTAAAACAAATCATTTCTTTGTTTTTAGTCAAGAAGCAGCGAAAGAGGACGCCTAAAAGCCCACCAACAGATGCTACGGCAGACAAGGCTCAGCCGCCCAAAAAGAGACTTAGAACCACCAAAGAAGTTGAAAAACAGGTGAGGTTTCCGACGTAATAGCTGAGATGGGAAACACTTTGGAGATCTAAAATGATTTGATAAGTAAACATCTAACACAAAGCAATATTTAAAATTATGCATGATCTTTTTTAACCAAACTTCACATGATTTTATTTCCCAAAATGAATAGTAGGCACTTTGTAAATAGATTTTCTTCCTTTTTTCTTCTCTTCCCAGGCTTTGACTACAGAAGGAACAGAAAAAAAGCGGAGAAGAAATAAAACGGACAAAGATGTAACAGAACCCAAGAAGAGACTCCCAAAGTCAAAAGCTCTCCTCGCTGGTAAACATCATTTTTTTCCTTTTTTTTTTGATTTAGCGAAAATGAAGGCTATTAAAAAGTATTAAAGGGCATTTTCCAAGGTATTACATTTTGTAGCTTGTTTTCAATAAGTATATAAATGGTCCAAAGAGGTTGTATTCTACAGTGTGCCTGAATGTAATCATTGCGTAGGTGTGTAGTGTGATTCTGTGTAGTTTATTTATGGCATCCCGTTGGGTTTGACGTCATCTGAACAGGACATCGCACGCTCACTGCTCGATAGCGCGCGACGGTCCGTTTACGCCGGTTGTTAAACCACATCGTTATTGGGAAATGCAAGTCTGCGTCCAAATGGTTGGAAGATAAGGAGGAAGGACAATCAATACTGTTATATAGTAAATGTGAAGTAAAGTGTGTCGCCAATGTAACCGGCTAAAACTCTAAGTGGCGATGAGGTCTTAAAATTAGGGCTGTCAAACGATTACATTTTTTAATCAGATTAATCACAGCTTTAAAATTATTTTTAAGATAATTAAGAATTATAAAACATTTCTGTGTCAAAATGAAAGACAGCCCACACACCTATCCATCATCATGGGTCTTAATTCATTAAGTGTTGATTTCTATCAACGGGGGAGTACTTCAGGAAAGTCGACAGAGGTGGGGGGGGGCTAGTGGAGTACTTCGTGACCACAGAGTGTGAACGATCAGCTGTGTTAGCGTAGTTCTCCAGTGAAGGGGGGGAGTCTCCCTCCGCAGCTGGTTGGCGTAATTTTGCCACAATTCCGTTGTACAGACCGATGTTAACAGCAGCCCTGTCTGTGCACACGGAGACCGACTCTGTCGTCCGGTGATCTAACCGCCTTCTGGAAAAGCTTCACAAGTACGTCGGTACGCAAATGCGCTTTGTGACACAAGTGACGGTACGCATTTCAGATTACGCACATAACCTGCGTACCAGTTATGTGCACCCCTGTAGTTCAGCAAAAGTATTCTCCGTCGGGACTTCCTGCAACAACACCACGCCGTTATCTTGATTCTGATTGGCCAGAAGACATTATCAAAGATGTTCTATTGAGAAGACGATCACTACGTGACAAAAGTTTTCAAAACCGTTTCTGGTCTTCGGTATTTCCACACAAGTGGCTACTGAAATCAATCTTACTAACTACTGTCTGTGCAATTCTCGGCGCGAGTTGGCAGACTTTATTTTGCTTACTTTAACATCATTTGTCATGGTGGGGCTAAGCCATTTCTTGGTATGGGTGTAGCCTACCCCAGCCATACCCTGGCGCTGCCACTGGTGGGATGTATGGGGCGGGCCATTCTGCACATGCGTTAAATGCGTTAAATATTTTAACGCAATTAATTCAAAAAATTAATTGCCGCCGTTAACGCGATAATTTTGACAGCATTACTTAAAATGTATGAAAAGGGTCTTAAAAGGTCTTACATTTGACTTCAGGATTCCTGCATATACCCTGATATTAAATTGTAAGAAAGAGGATCGAGAATTATTCTCTAGGAGACACACATGTGGAACCAGGGTGGGTGAGACAAGCAATGCAGTTATACAAGGTAAAACGGGGGGAAGTTACATATACAGCAGAATTGTCTTATTTACACTAAATCTAAATCAAAATAAACAAAACTCAAAAAAAATGAAAGATTTATTGCAGTTGCAGTTGCAGGGAATGTCTTTCATGTGAAACCCATTTAGCCCAGTATTGGTCAAATTTTCCACTACAAAGTCTTAAGGAGAAGGTCATTTTCTCCATGTCGAATATGCCCTGGTAAACATCTGTTAAGTCAATACATGAATGGGCTTCTCCTTTAAATTCACACCTGAAACCTGTGTGATTTGCTCTAGCTTCTAAATAATCTTAGCTGTTTTGTTATAGCTCCAAACACACTCCTAACCTAATTTTGTTCACTGAAGACCAAGAAGCGGAGAAACCAAAGCGTAGAAGGAAAAGGAAGCAGGATGGAGAACTCATGCCCTCCAAGGCGAAGAAGAGGAGGACCTCCCTGTGTCCGGATCCCGAGGTGAGAGAATAACCTCACATCAGCAGCCTGAGATTCACAAGTAAAACTAAGTTAAAAAGTGCTCAACAGGTTCAATTGTTATTTTGAAGTTTGATGATGCTATACTATTTAAAGTGCACCTATCATGCTATTTTTAGGCAATAGCATAGGTCTCAGATATATACAAATATATAAAAAACATGTCTATGAAGTGTTTTGCTCAAAATACCAAACAGATCCCCCATTCTAGCCATGCCTCATATCCCTCTATTTCACTTCCTGTTTCAAAAGTGCTGATTCTAAGTATAAAGCTAAAAAATTGATTATTAAAAATAAAAAAGGAGGGGGCTGAGCTCACGCGGGACCCGGCAGCTACTGTCTAAACTAAATACTGCGGTGATGAAACGCCATATCATGGATTATTAAGGATTCTTTCTGAAACAGTTTGGAGCTCAAAGGCTTTCTCTCTTGCCGGTTATACAACAAGGTGAGTTCCTTTGTATTTCCTGCTTCTTCACACACATGCTCTCCAGTACAGGTTAGCTCTGAGTGTTAGCGATGCTAATGTAAACACCGACCATATTACGTCCAAAACAGTCGGGCATTGTTTCTGATAGTACCGTGGGTCCCCATTTCCGATATTACGTCATATCGGACACAAATCTGGATCAGCTCTGTTGTACCCCCGTTTTTTAGAGATTTGGGTACGGAGGAAAAGAGAGAGGATTTTATTTTCTGATGCTGCGTGAGTTCCCTGACACACCGGGGACACATCTTTATGTAGAAAATACATCAAAAAGTGCATTTTGCATGATAGGTCCCCTTTAAGATTAAGCTTACCAGTGCAAGTTAGGTGGTGTTATTTTAATCACACAAGCTTATTATCAAGAATACAAAAGTTCTTGCCCATTCTTTCCTCTTTATGAGCAGAACTTAAATTGGGCAGTTTCCATTTTGTGTTGTATGTTTTTTTTGTTTACTCAGATCTGTTTCAAACAGTGTACTTTAGGTTATTGTTAATTGCTATACTGTTATAGAATTCGTACAATTGTGTCTGATTTATTCAAACCCCCACATGTTATTTGCT